CCCCCCCCTTTCAGCCTTCAGACTTCGCGATGATGACTTTACGAAATTCAATCCCAAGCCAACTTTTGTAGCCGTAAAGATCACGCAGCACAGCCAGCTCGTGCTATCCTAAACGGAGCGAGGAGATAGAAAACCGATGCGTCAGGATGTTTTGAAACAACAGGCAATTCGTGCAGCGGTCCCAGTTCGATCTAAACACCTTGATAGGTTCCTGGCTAAAATCACAGGGCGCCAGTTTAGGGCATTTTCTCTGTAATCTAAAGAGCTCAAACAGTTCGAGCAGTCTATAAGGCATCACACTAGCTATAAGGCACCGCAGTCTATGCGGAGAAGACTGCGGTGCGTATTGGGATGAATACCCTCAATTGACCCCCACGTCCTCAATCTTTCACAAAAGAGCACATTTGAGAAATCAGTTTTCGATACGTACGCGTATTCTGAGCTTGCAATAAATACTGAAGTCAGTGTGAACGTCAGAAACTTATGGGTCGCTTGAAATGAAAGTTCAAAGGCGAAGATCCTCTGGTAACTTGATATCGGAAATAGAAACTTACCAAAACTCCCATGTCTTCAGTGAAAACATCTCCAAATTCGAGTGCATCCACCATGACGACGGTGGAAATCTACTCGCTGGAAATGGCTAAAATTAACACTTCCGAACTGGACTCAATTAAATCAATAAACATCAAATCTTTCGAAATCGAGAAACTTGTAAAACCTTGGGGACGATTGATACGTCAAAAACTTGCAATGCGAAATCAATGAAACGATCAATAGCGGCTCCTCATTCAAGGAAATACGATGAAATATGACAGACTCAGCAGTGTAGTGAGAGAAGCGTTGAAGATTGAAGAAAGTGGATCAGTGGAACCCGATCGATGACAGATATTGAATAGAAACTGCACAAAGCTGTGCTTTTTCAATTTTCGGAAATAATTAGATTGTTCAATATGGCATTACTGGACCGAATGGCGTAAAAAGAATGAAACAAGAATGAGAAATCGAGACACTGTCCTGCGACAACATAGCGCGACAGCGCCTTCAAAGCGCAACGATTTCGCGCGCTCCACGGCCACCCACAAGGGCGCGGGCGGGGCTTTCCTGAGATGTGAAGAACTTAGTAAACCTATTTGTAAGCTTGGAAACGTCCTATTCATTTTTCCTGTTTGGTAGGCTGTTCTTTGATACACTAGATA